AGCGTCTTTTTTTTACCCCGTTCTCAACTCGCTCCTACTTCTTTATTTGTCATTTTAACCCGGAGCGCTCACAACTATGCGGTTTTCTTGCAGGTCCGTACGATTCTGACTCCTCCAGCTCCGACGAGGCCGTTGCACCGACTCCAGAGATGGCGGACAGGGCTGAAAAAATGAGGCGTCGCTTGACGCAGCGTTCCACCGGTGCCGCCGCCGCTTCTTCCTCTCAGCCGTCGCCGGCGATTCGGCCGACTCCTCCACCCTCTCACAACGTGGTCGATCTTACGCCATCGCCCGTGGTGTCGCCCACTCGGCAGCCACCTCCTCCTTCGACTGAGAGCCCAAGCTCCAAGCGCCCTGCCGAGCACACGGAGGGGCCGACTCCGAAGAAGATCAAGCTGTGCCACGAGGTGGATGCCGATGCCCAAATCTGGATGGGCGCCGCCTCGGTCCGCAAGTGGTGCGCCGACGTTCTCCTGCCTAATGACGTGGCGGCAACGCAAGCTTTGGGGGACGGGTATATCCTCGAGGCCTCGCTTCGCCAATCTTACCGCGTAAGTGTCACTGACTCGGCTCCTATTCTCCGCTCTTTCTTTTCCTTGTCTGACTCGTGACAACTGCGCAGAACCTCACCTTTCAGATGGAGATGGGCAAGCGGCTCCAGAACTTTAGGACCGAGATGCGGTCCACGGTTCTCAAACTGCGCCAAACAGAGGAGGCTTTCTTGGAAGAGCAGGCGAAGCACCTCAAGATGGTGGAGGTGCACAACTCCGAGCTGCTGAGGGTTACCCGTCAATGGGAGGAGGAAAGGGATAAGGTGGCAACGATCGCCGCGACCTCCGTCGAAGATTACAAGAAGTCGGTGGCCTTCGAGGCGGATGTGAGAGCGGCGGTGGAGGCCCGGAAGAAAGAGGTGGCCAAGGAGTGGCTGGCGACCCCAGAAGGCGACGAGTTCCTTCTGGATCTGGGCGAACGCGATTACCGCCTTGGTTTCCGCGAGGCGCAGACAGAGATCCACCCCACGTTGCTGGCTCGCAACTCCTCGTTCACTCCCGAGGGCTGGGGCCTCAAGCCGGTGTTGGATGCTGAAGGGCCGGCAGCGCCTGCTGATCCGTCGACTCTTCCCACGGCGACGCTCCCAGAGCTTATCGAGTCCTCTCCTCAGGCGAAGGACCCTTCTTCTGTTCCCCTAGCTGGACCAACGGCAGGGGCGCAAGTTGAAGGGGTCGACGTCGACACCCCATCCCCAGTAGCTTAGGGCCTTTTAAGATAGCCCCTTTTTTTTTTATAAAGGCTGGCCTCCTTTTCGGCCTTATTTAAAAAAAAAAAAAAAAAAAAAAAAAAAAAAAAAAAAAAAAACTCTCCCTTCTTTCGCACTTCGTTTTCGAATTCTTTTAATACTGACAAATCTCTAAGGCCTCGAGCCTTTCTCCCTTACCTTCTAATTCTCCCTTGCCGAGTCCCTTAATCGAGACGACTCTTTAGGCTTTTACTTTCGCAGAAACGGTTTAGGTTCAGTGCCCCATTGTTTCTATATATACTCGCCGAGTCCCTCAGTCGAGGCGACTCCTTCTGGCTTTTTCTCGGAAACGACTAAGGGTCTGGGCCCTTGTTTCCTAACTCTTTCTCGCCGAGTCCCTCAGTCGAGGCGACTCTTTAGGCTTTTACTTTCTCAGAAACGGTTTAGGGTTAGTGCCCCGTTGTTTCTATATATACTCGCCGAGTCCCTCAGTCGAGGCGACTCCTTCTGGCTTTTTCTCGGAAACGACTAAGGGTCTGGGCCCTTATTTCCTAACTCTTTCTCGCCGAGTCCCTCAGTCGAGGCGACTCTTTAGGCTTTTACTTTCTCAGAAACGGTTTAGGGTTAGTGCCCCGTTGTTTCTATATATACTCGCCGAGTCCCTGGGACGATTAGCTGTAACCCATGTGCTTTATTTAGATTTTTGGAATCCTCGAGCCCGTACACGGCCTATCCTTTTCTACTGATAGAACCTTTTCAAATGAGTGACGTTCCATATGCGATCTATGGGCTTGCCTTCCACAGTCTCTAACTTGTAGGTTCCGACTTGGACCACCGCTGCAATACGGTATGGCCCCTCCCACTTAACCGCAAACTTGCCTCCTTCGGTGGGCTGACTGGCTTGTCGATCGCGCAACACGAGGTCGCCAACCTGGAAGGTTCGCGGGCGAGTCCTTCGGTCGCGATATCTTTTCACCGCCTGCTGGTACTCAACCATCCGTGCACTCGCGGCTTCCCTCCTTTCCTCTAGGAAATTTTTCTCGATCCACAGACTCTCTTCGTTCGCTGCATCCGAATAGGTGCGAACCCGGTGGGTGGGCTCGACCACTTCGACTGGAACCTTGGCCTCGAAGCCGTATGCGAGCGAGAACGGGCTCTCCCCCGTCGCTCGCCGCTGGGTAGTGCGATAAGCCCATAGGACTTGGTCAAGCTCGTCCGCCCAATTTCCTCGGATGTCTTCGAGCTTCTTCCGGATCCCGTCGACCAACGTTCGATTCACATTCTCGACCTGCCCATTGGCCTGTGGGTACGCCACCGATACCTTGGTATGCTTGATATCGTGTCGGCGGCAGAAGTCAGCGAAGGCCTGGCAGTCAAACTGTCGCCCGTTGTCACTGACGATGTGCTCGGGCAGGCCGAAGCGACAGATCACCCTTTTCCACAGAAAACGTCGACATTGGTACTCGGTGATGGTAGCCAATGGTTCTACCTCGACCCATTTGGTGAAGTAGTCGATAGCCACGACGCAAAACTTCAGACCTCCCGGGGCGACGGGCAATGGTCCCAACAAGTCTATTCCCCACTTGGCGAAGGGGATGGCAGTGGTGACCGGTGTATAAAAGGTGGCCGGCCGGGTGTCTTTCCTGGCGAATGCTTGGCAAACGCCGCACTTGGACATCCATTCGATACAGTCTCGCATCATGGTCGGCCAATAATACCCTTGAACGACTAACTTCCGGGCGAGCGTGTGGGCGCCCTGGTGCGCGGCACAAATGCCTCTATGAGCTTCGTCCATTATTTTCTCGGCCTCAGGTCTAAGCAGGCACTTTAGTAAGGGTCCTCCGAACGACTGTTTATATAGCTGCCCGTCGATGATCTGGAAGGAAGGGGCTTTTCGCCGAACTCTAGCGGCGACTCCTTGGTCACTTGGTAACTCGCCCGTCTCCTTGAATCGCCGGATGTCTTCCATCCAAAACATCTCAGGGTTTTTCTCCCGATCCCATTCCTCGATATTTACTTGCTGGACTTCCAGTGGTGTCTCTTCAACACTCGGCCGATTTAACTCCTCCTTCTGGCAAATTCTTATCAGGTGGTCCGGTACCCCTTCCAGGGCAATTTTGGACAATATGTCGGCTTCCACGTTGTCCGCTCGGGAGATGTACTCTATCTCGTAAGCCCCGAACTCTTTTAACATCTCAACTGCGCGCTCTTTGTATAATACCATCCTTGCATTCTTAGTCTCACACGTACCCGAGATCTGTCCGACTACCAGTTTGGAGTCAGTCTTGATTCGCAGCCGCTCGACTCCCAGGGCCTTGGCGAGTCGGGGGCCGTTTAATACTGCTTCATACTCGGCCTCGTTATTTGATGTCGAGAACAAGTATCTCAGAGCGTAATATAGCCGGAATCCTTCCAGAGTGATGAGCATGACACCGCCTCCACAGTGCTGTCGACTCGATGCTCCATCCGCGTGCATTTCCCACCACTCGCCCGGGCAGCTCTCCGGGGCTCGTTCCTTTTCTTCCATACTTGCTGTACATTCGACCAGGAAGTCGGCCAAGACTTGACCTTTAATGGAAGGCCGGGGTTGGTATTCAATCCCATACTGAGTCAACTCTACGGCCCATTTTACAAGTCGACCGGAGGACAAGGGGTTTCTTAGCACGCTCCCGAGCGGCTGGTCTGTCAGAACTCGGACGGTATGGGCTTGGAAATAAGGCGCCAGCTTGCGCACGGTGACTACCAATGCATACACAATCTTTTCCAGAGCGGTGTACCGCGTCTCAGCGGCCTTCAGCGAGCGACTTATGTAATAAACCGGGTGCTGGACTCGGTCCTCCTCTCGGACCAATACCGAACTCACTGCTTTGGCCGAGGCGGCGAGATACAAGAATAAGGGCTCGCCCACCTGGGGGGTAGACAGCACTGGGGGCGTTGAAAGGTACTGTTTCAACTCCTCGAACAATTGTTGGCATTCGGCAGTCCAAGCGAATCTCTGCTTCTTCTTCATGGCTTCGAAGAAAGGCACGGTCTTATCTGCCGCTTTGCTCAGGAAGCGGCTAAGGGCGGCCAACCGACCAGTCAATCGTTGTAGGTCCTTGACGGTGGTAGGAGGCTGCATGTCGATGATGGCCTGTACTTTCTCCGGATTAGGCTCAATGCCTCGTTTGGTGACCATGTAGCCCAAGAATTTTCCACCTTGGATGGCGAACGCACACTTTTTGGGGTTCAGCCGAAGGTTGTATTTTATCATTACCTTGAAGCAGTCGGCCAGGTCCTCCGCATGCTTGTCCTCCTCCCGGCTCTTGACGAGCATATCGTCGACGTACGCGGCCATCGATTTCCCAAGCAGGTGTTGGAACAGCCGGGCGACCATTCGGGTGTACGTAGCCCCGGCATTTTTAAGTCCGAAGGGCATGACTCGGTAACAATAAACTCTGTCCGGTGTCAGGAAGGCGGTCTTCTCCTCATCCGCCGGGTGCATAAATATTTGGTGATACCCTCTGAAGGCGTCAATGAAACTCATTAGTGCCGACCCGGCCGTCTCGTCGACTAACTGGTCGATCCGAGGTAGGGGAAACGGGTCTTTCGGGCAAGCCTTATTAAGATCGGTGTAATCCACGCACATTCGCCACGCCGGGGGCTTGGGTACGAGGACCACATTTTCCAACCACTCCGGGTACTTAACCTCGCGGACGTGCCCGGCCGCTAGTAGCGTGCTAACTTCCTTCTTCACAAATTCCCTTCGGTCGTTGGCCAGGTATCATTTCTTCTGTACGACCGGTCGGTGCTCCGGATCCACGGCGAGTCGGTGTGATATAACCGACCGATCGACGCTGGGCATATCCTCCGGGCCCCAGGCGAAAACCAATCGATGTTCCTGAAGCACTCTCACGATTTCCCCCCTTAGTTTCTCAGGAAGGCCGACCCCAATTCTCACCCGCCTACTAGGCTGTGTGGGGTCAATCTCGACTTCCTCTAGCTCGACGGCCGGCTCGGGGCGAGGTATCACCGTTTTCCTAGGGGGCCTCTCGGTAATCTCGTGGACCTGCATCTCACGTTTGCCCATCCCTCTACATGCTTGTAAATAACAGTCGCGGGCGGCCTTGCGATCGCAACGTACCGTTCCTATTCCGTTCGGCGTGCGAAACTTCAAGCACAGGTGTTCGATTGAGATTAGGGCTCCGAGGTCCTCCAAACCCGGACGGCCGAGTATGGCGTTATGTGAGCAGGCCAGATTTACCACGATAAACTTCATGCTTAACTTCTGTACATCCGGGTAACTGCCAATCTCCACGGGAAGGGTGATCGACCCTTCTGCCTCCACCGAGTCCCCGGTGAAGCCGGCGAGAGGGGTTTTGACAGGATTCAGCTGCTCTCGGGTTAGCCCCATTTTGATGAAGGTTTCCAGGTATAGCACATTGACGCTACTCCCGGTGTCAACCAGGATTCGGCGAACGACTACTCCATTGATGTCCATAGCAATGACCAACGCATCTCGATGCGGGGTCTCTCCGGCTGGCAGGTCCCTATCGGTGAACATGATGGGTTCTCGGCATACCTTTTTGGTGCTCTCTTCGCGACCGTAGACCGTCCCGACATACAATTGCCGAGCCCAGGCTTTTCGGGTGTTTGCCAAGTCGCCGCCCTCCGGTCCGCCGACTATCATGTTGATAACCGGCTTCTGGCGCCATTGGGCTTCGTCCTCTTCGGAAGCCGGCTGCTTACCTCGGCTGTTCTCTGCGTCGGCGGCAAGTCCCTCATCTCCTCGACTGGCCGACCTTCGCCTCCATTGATTAGGGGGCGGGGTCCCTTGCTGGATAATCCCCTCTATGATCTTCTTTAGATAGAAGCATTCTTCCGTGCTGTGAGTATAAGATTTATGATAATGACAGTACTTAGAAGCCTTACCAGTCTCCTCACTTGTTACGCGGTCGTCGATCGGTGGAGGCGGAGGTGGGGCGACTGCTTGTATTTCGTGGACCGGCCGCTCCGGAACCGGTCGATAGGCGTGGACGATGGGGCGGTCGTACGGTCGCCTAACATTGGGTCGCCGGGCCACATCCGAACGCCTTTCCTTCGTCTCGGCCCGCGTCCTTTTCCCGCTGGCGGACCCGCCGACCTCGCGTTGTCGTTTATGCTTCATGGCCTGCTCCGTGTTGGCTCTCTTGTTGGCCATCTGGATAGCTTCCACGTACGTTGCCGGGCGATTGTCCCTTAGGTCTCGGTACAGCTGGCCGGACCGCAAAGACTCGATGAAGAAAGTGAGTGCCGTTTGGTCCTCCACTTCCTCTATCGACTGGATCTCCTTTTGCCAGCGGGCTAAATAGGTTTTTAAGGACTCGCCCTCGTCCTGGTGGATGTCGACTAAGTGCGTCAGGTCCTTCTGTGGCTTGATGTTGGCGGCGTAGTGGCTCATGAAGCGATCTGCTAGCTCCTCGAAACTGTGAATCGTCCCTGGGGGTTGCGCCACGAGCCACCTCTGTGCGGACCCCTTTAGCGTGGGTAAGAAGGCGCGGCACATGACCGGGTCCCGTACCCCTAAAACTTGCATCTTAGCTTGGTAGCTCAGTAGGTGTTCTCGCGGGTCTCCCGACCCGTTGAACGTGGCTTGCTCCGGGAACTTGAAGTCGCCCGGTATCTTGAAGGCCATGATCTCGGCCGAGAAGGGTAACGCGGTCAGCAGCGTTCGGCCAGGGGCCTTGGCTTTTCCTTCCACCTGTTCTTTTAGATTTCGTACTTCCTGGACTAGATTTGCCACCTCGACCCTCTCTTGGGCGCGGTTTCCTGTCGATTCCGTGCTCTCGCCGACCTCTGACTCGTCAGGTTGATCATGGTCGTGGGCGGGCTGCTCTAAGCGGCGAGCCACCGTCCGGGCTTTCCTTGCACGGTTACGCTCACGCGCGCTCTGTCGACCGTGAGTTTCTAACGGGGCGCGAAGGGGTTCCCTTCGTCCCAGCCGTTCTCTCGCCGACCGTCGTTCCACACCCGGACCCAACCGAGAATGAACGGACTGGGCCGGTTGACTCTCAGTCCGGCGGGCGGATTGTCGATTGTCTGGCCTCCGCGACGGTTGGGGGTCTCGTTGCGGTATCCGAGTAGCGGATTGCTCCCGCATTCCCCGGCTCGCCTCGGCGAAAGCGCGTCCAATCGCTTGTAGCTGATCCGGGGTGAGCTGCACCGCGGCTGGTTGTGGATTTATCCGCGGATTCGGCGGCGGTGTCGCGTCATTTTCCCGGCTTCGGGCGTTTCTTCGATTCAACTGATCTCTTAGGTCGGCTCCTAGCCCGTTATCGTGTTGACTCAACTGTTCTTGGCTTCCTGTCATGGTAAAGCCTCTCGATCTCTCGCAACTAGGGCTCTTCTCGACGTTCTCTCGGACTCGCTTTGCTCAAAAGGCACGCGACTCTTTGTTTCGATCCCCACAGACGGCGCCAATGATGGTTTTTGGGTTTTCGAGCCCAAGGAGGTCCAACACAACCTTTTCAGCTGGAGGATACACCTTTCACAAAAAGTTTAATTTCAATGAAATGCGATGCTAATAAAGTTTTGTACTCCTCCTCCGGGCTCTCGAATCTCTCTCTTACAAGGGTGGAGGAGCCCTTTTATAGTGGCTCCTCCCTCACTGACTTAAAGGCCCATAATAGCCGACTTCAAGGCTGCTTTCAAGGTGCCGAGCCGTTGAGTGACGTTACGGGGTCTACCATCGGCTCTTTCTAGCTCGTAACCGGCGGACCGAGTCCGGCCTTTAATGCCTCAACGGCTCCTTGTCTTAACTTCTTCGGAGGCTCCCTCAACGGCTCTCTGCATTGAGACTTCCTTTGGGCTGGGCCCGGACCGACTCCTCGTCTCCGGCCCATGCTCAGGTTGGGTCGTCCTTCATAGCCCTGGCCTGGGCCTTCCATTTGGGCCTGGGCCGACTCCTGGACTCGGCCCACACACTCTCCAGGCCTGCCTCGTGTCAGCCCATTCTTCTCTCTGGTCTTTCCTCTCTGGGCCCTCTTTTCTTGGGCTGGGGTTCTTACCCCATCAATATGTTTGAAAAAGAAAAATATTGCTGAAAATTTATGAGAAAATGAGAAAGAATCAGCAATTAATTTTGAGTTGAAGTTACTTCTAAATAAATGAAGTAAGGGGAAATTCTGGTAATACGGAGGAAGCATTCTATACTTGGTGTTGAGCAAGTATCTTGGATTATTTGTATTTATTTGCTCCTCTAGTTTGAAAGCTTTTGTTTAAGCTACTTTCCTAAATATTCCCTACCTTAACCCTAGCCCCATTACAACCTGTGGAGAGTCCTTATGATTTGTGTCATGCATGACTCTTGTAGTGGTGATTGAGAAGATATGCAAGCCTATGGTAGAGCAATTTTATAGGACTGAACTTGAGTGAAATTTATACCCATCAAACACTTGAGTGATGAGTGATATTCCTGTGAGGGCTTACTTATTTAGCTTTCTCAATTTTCAGACAGGGGTGCTATCTTATTAATTGCAGGGTGCTTCAGATTGTTGTTCATGATATGTTGTGAGTTTTGGGGATTTTATTTATTTACTTCGCAAATAATATTTTTGCTTGGGGACAAGCAAATGTTTTAGTGTGGGGAAATTTGATAGTCATATTTTACACCCATATTTTAGTTAAATCTTTATAATAATTTTGCATTAGTTATTTAATATTATCTAATAATTAGTTCTTTTTATATATAATATATAATATATAATATATATAATACATAGTATATATATTAATTTATTACGTACTAGTATATACATATATATTTATTACGTACTAGTATATGTTTGAATCCATTTTCTATCTTAATCTTAATAATAATACTATGCCTAAAACCGCCCAAATCTTAGGAAGTACAAAACAAATAAAATGAATGGTGTTTCTTTGTACAGAATGAATGGCGCAGCTGACGTTCGGACCAAGTGGCGGAAGACTCGTGAAAGCATGAAATGGGTGGTAGACAACAGCTTTAGTTCATTTTTAGAATGCTATAAATAGTAGATGTTTCCATTTGTAAAATGTTCATTCTTTAGTTCATTCTTCCAAAGCTGTTATCAATGTCCATTCATTGCTAATTTCTTTAGCTTGGTTTAGTGAATTGAAGCCCCGGAATTGATTATGCTGTAAGATTATTTATTTATTTTTATTATATAATTTTTATGCATTTGGGTATTAAATATTCTTCTAAGTTATTTGAATAGTTGTATCATTTAATTGCTAGGGAGGTCTACTAGTTATTTGCTTGATATAATTATTTGCTATATTAGATAATGTTGTGCTACAAATTATTCTAATATTCAGTAGCAACTGGGTTAATTATTGACGGTTTAGTGATAATTGGACTCGGGTAGAATATTTTCCTAAGTTAAATGCAACCGCTTGTGCTTGTGTTATTTAGTTTGTCGGTTTTCCTAGTTCCTATTGCTGCTATTAAATTAAATCTATAGCGCTCGTCTTAGGTTATTAGTAGTTAGGGGTAATTAAACCGCGTGTGCTTTAGTTACCTATAACTAAGGGAAAACGGAAATGAAATAATTTCACGACAAATATTCAATTGCATATTAATTACTTTATTAATCAATGATCAGTGTTAAATTCCGGTGGTGGATCTTTACTAACCAAGGTTTTCTATTATAAGTGCTTTCAATATATTAGTTTCATTGCTTTATTCGATTTATTTAATCTCTTGTTTATTTAAATTATCTTTTACTTAATCTTTATTCTCGTTATTTTCCAAACCCCCCATTATTTCCTTGAGCACAAAAGTTAAACTAGTTACTCCTCGTGGGATCGATCCTTACTCCCGCTACTACGTTTGTAAGGTTTTAATTTGGGAGCCTACGACAGCTCACCATCCCTCATAATTCCTTCTTTTCAATTCACTCAGAGAACAAGGATAAAAAGGTGTGGTGATAGAGGATCCCTGTCTAAGACCTCGACTAGGGATGATAGGACCATCAAATTCTGTTAGGAGTATAGCGGAATAATATAGAAGCGAATAATCGTAAATTGAGAATTATAGAGAAGTTAAATAATATAAATAAGAAAAATTATATAAATGACAAATGAATTTCTAATATATATATATATATATATATATATATATATATATATATATATATATATACATATATAGACGGGTTCAGGTGCGGCAGTGTCTTACGGTGCGGCAACACCAATAGTTCACCAAATATGCATCATCAACGTTAGGAAATACACCACACAAAACAGAGTAAACAGAGCCCTGCATCACCAAACACACACCATTAGGTGTGAGTAAAAACACCATACACTGTTCGGAAATACACCATTGGGGGTGGTGAGTTATATGGTGTGTTTTTTTGAGTCTGTGGTGTATTTTGTGATGTTTTATTACATTTCATTGGGGTGTGTTTTTATTACACTGTTGGTGCATATTGTTAACTCTGTTGGTGTATTCTGGAATTTGACCGCACTGTAAGACCCCGCCGCATATGAGCGCTCTTCTATATATATATATATATATATATATATATATATATATATATATATATATATATATATATATATATATATATATATATATATATGATTACATTCATATAAAAATAGGGCTTAAAATACAAACGTGTGGACATTTCTGGATCATTGGATTTTGGGTATAGCAACCAACCACTTGGACGAGTTGGCACATGAAATATCCTCACAATAACAGGATGAATCACCATCAACCTCCTGTGCAACTGAAAGAGTATAAGCAACCAAGTGGACTTCATCATCACTAGCATACCTAACAGGTTTTTCAATTGTCCTCCTAGGTCGATGTTGGGCAATAGAGTACTCTCGTTGTGGCTCGACAAGAGGTGCGGTACTAGTAGATACATAATCTGTAGTATTACCATCAGTGGTAGTAATACTATCACTAGGCCACAACTCGAACTCCACCTTCTCTCCAGTACTCTGCGTATCACATGTACTAGGAACAACAAAATCTTTTCCAGAAGAAAGTAGTGCATTTTCATCAAAAGTGATATCTCGACTCAAAATGATTTTCTGAGAATCAGGAGACCATAGACGATACCATTTTGACTCAGAAGCATAACCAAGGAAAATACATTTGACAGCTCTAGGGTTTAATTTACCCATACTGGAATGAGCATATGCAGAACATCCAAAAGCTCTTAAGATAGAGTAGTCAATAGGATTACCTGACCAAACCTCCTCTGGAATTGTGAAATAAGGGACGAATGTGGAAATCTATTCACCAAATATCACGTAGTAGAAACGGCCTCGACCCAAAAATCACGTTGTTTCCATAACCCAGCATTAGAGAGCATACAACGAGCTTGCTCCAATAGGGTCCTGTTTATACGTTCGGCAACACCATTCTGCTGGGGTTTACCAGGAAAGGTCATGTGCCTGTCAATTCCATTTGCTACACGAAACTCATTAAAATCTGACTCACAGAACTCCAAGCCATTGTCTATCCTGAGCTTCTTAACCTTTTTCCATGTCTGAGTCTCAACAAGTATTTTCCACTTTTTTAAAAATAGAAAACGCTAGATTTTTGTGTTTCAAAAAATAGACACATATTTTACGAGAAAAATCATCAATAATAGACATAAAATATCTATGTCTCAACCTCCCATAAACTAGACTTTGCTTGGTACATGAGAATTCGTCGATCTCCAGAATGGTCGAGCTGTAAGAGGAAACCGAGAAAGACTTGACCTCGACCGTGTCGTCGTAGTCCCTACCTGAGATGTTTTGGCTATCAGAGCCCGTCATGTCTTCTCCTTGAGTGACGGAAAAGCCTGAAAGGAAAAGAAGAGCGAAGTTCAGGCTGTGTATTGAAAGAGTTATGTTTGACTTGTTGACTAACCAAGATTACAAAGCGTTTAAGTACATTAGGAAGAAGATGGTTATAACTAACTTATAACTAATCTTGATGAGGCTGTTACGCACTACAGTCTTCTTCCTTTTCTTGCTCACGTGCCTTGTCCTCTAATACTCCCCGTAAGCTGGAGTATGCAGATCATGCGTGCCCAGCTTAGATATGAATGTCTGGAACAGAGAGATTGGGAGAGCTTTGGTAAATCCATCAGCGATTTGTGTTGCGAACAAGACGGAGAGTAATTTGACAAGTCATTGGCTCACTTTCTCTCTAACGATGTGGCAGTCTATATCCAAGTATTTTGTCCTCTCGTGGAATAAATGGTTTTCGGCTATAGTTATGGCCGATTTATTGTCGTAAAACAACGCTACAGGTTTGTTTAATGGAGCCTGCAAGTCACGGAGAAGAAACGTGATCCATTGTACCTCACAAACTGTGGCTGCGAGTGCTCGATATTCTGCGTCTGACGAAGAACGGGAGACAGTGGCTTGTTTCTTGGATTTCCATGACACAAGGGCAGAGCCGAGAAATATACAGAAGCCGGTGATGGATTTTCGTGTCTCCAAGCAAGATCCCCAGTTTGAATCAGAGAAAGTGTTGAGCTGCATTTTGTTATTCGTAGGGTAGAACAACCCTTGCCCTGGAGACTTCTTTATATATCGTAGTATACGGTGAGCTGCAGCTAAATGCACATCTGTGGGAGCATATAAAAACTGGCTGAGTTGTTGTATCGCATAGGATAGGTCAGGCCTTGTTGCGGTTATGTATAACAAACGCCCAATGAGCCTTCTATATCCACTGATGTCTGAGATAACAGTGCCACTGTCTTTGGTTAATTTGTGACCTGAAGCCATGGGGGTGCTTACGTGTTTGCAGTGAAGGAAACCTTCTTCAGCTAGGATGTCTAATGCGTATTTCCGTTGGCACAAGTTCATACCTGCTTCAGTTCTATGGGCTTCAATGCCCAGAAAATAACCCAGCTTTCCAATGTCCTTGATTTTGAAGGTTGAATCGAGGAATGCCTTGATTTCATTAATGAGACGCATGTTGGGGCTAGAAACCAAGATGTCATCAACATATATGAGGATAGCTATAAAATCCGAACCACATCCCCTGGTGAACAATGAGGGATCTGATTGCGCTTGCTTGAAGCCTTTGCTTATTAAGGCATTGCTTAGTCTTGAGTTCCATTGCCGGCTAGCTTGCTTGAGGCCATAGAGAGACCGGAGTAATCTGCAAACTTGCCCCGGTTTTTCTCCCTTGAAGCCGGGTGGTAATTCCATGTAAACCTCTTCGTCTAGACTGTCGTGTAAGAAGGCATTATTTATATCAAGCTGCTGAACATGCCAACTGTGAGATACTGCCAAAGCTAGAAACACACGAATGGTTGTTAGCCTTGTTACTGGGAAAAAAGTTTCAATATAATCAACCCCAAGTTGTTGTGTGTAGCCCTTAGCTACCAACCTCGCTTTATAACGCTCAATCGTGCCGTCTGATTTGATCTTTGTTTTGTATACCCATTTGTAACCAATAGCCGTTTTGCCAGGTGGTAGCTCAGTTATTTTCCAAGTGTTGTTGTCTTGGAGAGCCTTGATCTCGGCTGCCATTGCATCTTTCTAACAATCATGGCGTATGTCCTGGTTGTATGTTCTTGGTTCATCCACCAAGGTAACTGCCATTGAGAACAACTTGTGGGGCTCTGCTAGTGCATCATAAGATAAGACTCTGGACAGTGTATGTGGAGATGTCCTTGCAGTCCCTTTTTCAAGAACCATGTCGCAGTAGTAGTCTTGCAGTCTCTTGGGAGCACGACGATCTCTATCAGACCTCCTTGGTTGTGTTGGAGGAGGAATGTCAGTAGAGCTTTCTTGAGTAGCTTCAGTGACCATTCTTGAATCATCATCATCACCATGGTCATGAGTTTGCTGGGAATACGAATTGGCAAGTTGCTCACTGCCAATGTGTGGCTGACTTGAATTATAATTCTGTTGGATGGGAGAACCAGGTTGGCTAGGGATGACATTCTGGACTCGGGAGTCATGCAGGCTGGGGACCTCAAGATTCATGGAACCATTTGTGGATAGCATTGGCAAAGGCAGTTCAGGAACTAAGAATTTGTCTGCATATTTCTGTTAATCATGATCTGACAAGGGGAACTCTTCTTCATAAAAGGTGACGTCCCTAGAGACAAGGAAAGAATCATCATTAATATCATAAAGGATATATCCCTTCGTTCCAACCGGCATACCAAGAAAAACACATTTTCTTCCTCTCGGTTGCATTTTGTATCTGTTAGTTGGCAGCGTGGCAGCAAAGCATAAGCAACCAAACACTTTGAGAGAGTCTAAGTCCGGTTCTTTGTTGCATACTTTTGATAAGGGCTTTCCCACCCAATGACCGGAGATGGACTTCAGTTTATGATGAAAACAGCATGTGTGACACAGTGACTCCAAAATTCCAAGAGAAGATGTGCTTGAAACCGTAATGCCCTTGCCACATTGAGGATATGTTGGTGTTTCCTCTCTACTATGGTATTTTGTTGCGGGGTATTGACACAAGAGCGTTGATGAATGATCCCCTTATCCGAGAAGAACTCAACCATGTTGAACTCACAACCGTTATCACTGCGAATAACCTTAATCAAAGCACCAAACTGTGTGAACACATAAGCATGAAATTGTTTAACAAGCTGCCTAGTTTCAGATTTGGTTTTCATCATATGTAGCCAAGTGAATCTTGAGAAATCATCCACAATTGTCAAGAAGTATCGATCTCCTTTTAAAGAACAAATTGGGAAGCGGCCCCATATGTCAATATGTATTAAATCGAAACAAGAAGTTGATGTGGAAGTACGTAAAGGAAATGAAGTACGCCTATGTTTGGCTAAGTGGCATACATCACAAGCCGGAGCCTTATTATTTGCAACATTAATAGAACTAAAGAGATGTAGTTTGTTGATTGGGAAGTGCCCCAATCGTTGGTGCCAAAGTGTGGCACTACTACACTGCATATCAGTGGTGATTTCTGGTACTGGTGGTGGCTTCATCAAGACATATAACCCTCTTTGTTGTTTAGCTAAACCATCCATTTGTCCATGATTCCCCTGAACCAAACACTGCCCATCCATGAATATTAGTCTATAAGTTGTATCTTGAGCTAATTTGCTAACGGAGATGATATTGAATTTGAAGGATGGGATGTACAAAGCATCCTTTAGCCACATAGTGTCATTGAGCTTCACATCTCCTATGTGAATAACGGGAACACGTTGGCCGGTAGGCAAATTCACCTCCACTCCATTAGATGTGTGATGATTAATAAAGAACTCAGGGGAGCATACAATATGATTTGTGGCCTCGGAGTCAATAATCCAAGTGGATGAGAAAATAGTAAGGGAATTAACTTGTGATTGGAGATACTTGACTTATTGGTTAGTCTGATCTTCATCAAAGGTGGGTGTTAAGTGGACTGCTGCACTTGTGCTAGGCCCAGAAGATTGCCCTGCTTGAAAAATGGCCATAATCTTCTGTAATTGCTCAGAAGAGATTCCTAATTCACCTGCAGTGTTTGCGACTGCCCCGGCAGTCTATTGTCTCCCCTTCGACTTGAATCCTTGCACCCAACCGAGAGGATAGTCGTGCTTTTTGTAGCACTTGTCAATTGTGTGTCATATCATCCTACAGTATGTACATTTTGGCTTGTTAACATTGCTTCGTCTGTCATTAAAGTTGTTTAGTGTTGCTGCTGTAGTTTCCTCACCAACAGACTGATTGGTGTGTGCTGCATTAGCATGGTTAATTTCCATATTTCCTAAGCTCAAGTTGGTTAGATTGATTTGCCTCTCTAACTTCTCAGCCATCACAAAAACTTTGTAAATCTCAGGTAGTGGATCCAGCACAAGAATGTTTGATTTAAGGTTATTATAATCTTCATTTAAACCTTGCAAGAACCGGATTACCTGATCCGTATCTCTCTCCTTACAGATGGGAAGGGGCCTCAACGTATTCAGTTCCTCACACAGAGTGCGCGATTTTGTGTAGTAATCGCTAACAGAGAGAGATTGTTGCTTCAGGTTGTATATGTCATTCTGCAGGATTGAAATTCTTAGAGCGTCATATTGCAAGAAGCGTCTTCTCAAGTCTTCCCAAATGTCTCTACTCTTGTCAAAATGCATCAAGCTCTGTGCTATCGTCGAGTGTACAGATCTGAAGAGCCATGAACAGACGAACAGGTTGCATCGACGCCATGCTGGATATTGAGCGCTATCTCTGCTTGGAACCGCTATGCTGCCATCAATTAGGCCCCATTTATTCTTGACCTCCAGCGTGATTCGCATGGAGATCGACCAAGTTCCATAGTTGGAACTGCCTAGAAGCGGTGGAGTGACTATAACGGCATTTGGATTGTTGTTGGGGCTGAGAAGGAAAGGATCTTCTAGCTCCTATGGATTTAGGTTTCTCTGTATGTGGTTGAGGTGATCCCTCTGCGGAATTGATTCTGGATTGATCGGAGCAGGTGGCTGGTTGATCGGAGTGACACCTTGTGTCCCTTGACTAGTGCTTCCGATGCCGGTTATGGCGGCGGCGTACGACTGGTATCGTCGCTCTGATACCATGACGGAAAAGCGTGAAAGGAAAAGAAGAGCGAAGTTCAGGCTGTGTATTGAAAGAGTTCTGTTTGACTTGTTGACTAACCAAGATTACAAAGCGTTTAAGTATATTAGGAAGAAGATGGTTATAACTAACTTATAACTAATCTTGATGAGGCTGTTACGCACTGCAGTCTTCTTCCTTTTCTTGCTCACGTGCCTTGTCCTCCAATATTGAGGTTAAGGGAAGACACTTTAGAATGGAGAAGCCAAGTGGGCATCAATTTTCCTTTGAAATTAATTTAAGAGAATAATAAGTAGCTCGGGAAGAAAAGCTTACTGGTAATGTGCAATTAAGTTGGAAGAGTGCAGAAGAAGTCTCTGCAGTTATAAGCTCGGGATTCTCTCGGGTAAGCAAGATAAGCAAGCGTGAAATGGATCCCCATTTGCATCCTATTTATAGATGGCGAGCTGTGGGAAAATTTTGAAATTCAAAACGCATCTCAAGGTAGGGGGTAATCGGCCGACACGTGTTCTGCGACACGCGTAAACAGTGATCCTCGTTTTGCTAGGTGCACTCACACCACATTCTGTCTTAACCCGGCAAAAGGGGCTTCAGGGATTTTTCCTCTAACAACCGGCATCATGGCATGGGGTGGGGGTGGGGGGAGGGGGCAACTTGATAGGGAAAACTCCTCAGGTATACCTTCCCCCTTACGAGCCATGTACCTGTTCGGTGTTCGGTTGGGTCATGGAGAGAGACCATTCCCGAGCATTACTGACCCAGAGGTCACCGACCTGTCCTAAATGGAAAGACTGAACAGGACGCGATCAATATCAGTACCTAATCATCTTTTGAGGTCGCCCTGACCAACTTAGGTCGAAACAGGAAAACTCGACCCTCTCTACTTGGTGCCAGTAGCCTTATCTCTTGCTCAAGCCTGGTGGCTGCAAGAATGAGGAAGTCATGAATCTTGGTACACGTGGAGGAATCAGGGCAGCCTCCGACCCTCCCGTGTGCATGGGCACTATGTGTCGCGCCTGCCGAGAGACCGTCATGTGTTCCCTTCAGTCCCCTATAAATACCACATTAAATGCTTAAAGGAAAGACTTTTGGACTTTCTAATTAAGCCTTATTTAGCTCGGGAACCTCTAGCCTTACGTCACCACCCAAGCTTAAGTCGTAAACCAACAAGCAAACTAAAGAAGAATTCACATGTGATCCAACCTCATAACTTGTACGTATTTGTTGGAACCATCATATTTACCACATCAACTGCCTTAACTGTCTTTGACGGGTTGGTTACCATGACTAATTATCCTATCATGGTCTATAAGTAAGAAAATAAAGTTATGCCTTCACTACTAGCTATAAATTTTGACGTAAGTGATAAGCGTTTGATCCTAACACCCTCCATACCTATTATGAATAGATATGGAGCTAAGAATCCACTTGCCTTCTTAGCCCCGACTATTTTGTCAATATAGCTAAGGATAGAAATTCATATTGATGGAGAATATACCCCGGGTTTAGGCTCCCCGGACGATCCGTACTTCTGCTTGGGTTGGAGTCAAACGGTTCGGGTCCAGGTCCGCGGGTCAAAGTCAAACCCGCCCACACTTGGGCCTATAAATGGGGCCTTAGCCCTCATTATAGAAGGTTCCTTCTTCCCCTCTCCTCCGACAAATTATTGTGTGGACCATGATTCACACAATTGTATAGACCATGAATATCAAGTACATTTTTAATATATTAAAAATACATTATTTTTGTACTGAAGGTACACTATATAAAATAATGTACCCTTAGTATATTAAAAATGTACTTTCAAAAAATGTACCTTATGTACGTAAATAATATACCCTTAGTATATTAAAAATATACTTTCTATTTATGATCCACACAATTGTGTGGACCATGGTCCATGCAATAATGATTGCTCTCCTCCACTACCCTCTCTCTCTACATTTAATTCACTCTCAATTCTCTATAGAAATACACTGATGGATATATTATACCCACGACCCGACCCGGGGTAGCAACGCGGACCCGGAGCACCATGATGGAGCCCAAGAGCAACGCGGACTCGGGGCACCACATGGGAGCCCAAGAGCAACACGGACCCGGGGCACCACAGAGGTGCCCCGACCCGACCCGAGATCGGCATCACCCGAGCTCGGGACCCGACCCGACCCGGTCCACCCGGGCCCGGTCAAAGTAGTGATCTAACCACCCCCCGATTTAGGGGGAGGCGGTTGAGGGGTTTAGCTTGTATAAAAACCCTCCTCATTGTCCTAACAAGGGGCATTCTATCTACATTCTACATTTATTACACACTTTGTCTTACCGAATCTTTGTAATAGCCAATTCCTACGGTAATTAATATAATATATGGTCTCACGGCCTTTTGCTATATCGTTCTATATTATTTATATATTATTTATATTACGTTCTTATCCGGATTTATTGATTCGGATCCACCTTGGGCTAATTAAATTCATCATTGATGCTCTTGTTGAGAGCTGCTGTACTAGCTCAAGCGTGTTCTATATCCAGTGGTCTACCGCGACCAGTTACTATGGCAAGATCGAGATCCAACTCGCGCCACACCAATGGTTCCCGCGGCACCCAGCCCGTAGCAACCGGGAACGGCCCCAACGGGGTCCCCAGCCTTCAACCGCCCACCTTTGCCAGGTCGGGGGGAGACATGAGGGACCATCTCACCAACCACCGCAGTGGTGGAGCTCCACCTCCCGCCCCCCCTGTTCAGGACCTAGCCCTCATCCGGGAGGGGATGGCGGTCTTCGAGCAAGCCTCCACAGGGCTGGCCCGGGTCATGGCGGACCTCCGAGCGCGTATGCCTGCCGACCCGGGCGTCGACCAAGGGCTACCAGCCCCTCCTCCACCTCTTCCCACCCGGGGGCGCAGCGGTCCAAGTACCCGGCCACCCCAGGCACCTATCACCCAGGGGGAGATCAATTCGCCCCGCCAGATGGACACACGGGGAGGGGGGGACTCACGACGTGACCGACTTCAGGAGGACGACGGAAGGAGGTCAAACCAAACCAGGCCCGCCATGGAGAGGCTGGGCAGCCGGGTGCCAGCCTGAGAGAGGTTGGGCCCAAGGCTTGCAGCCAATGATCCTCCACCAGCAGAATCATGCTCCCGCAGGCAAGCACGACGACAATCAGTCACCCGAAGGTCGCCAAGCTATGGACCCCGAGCCCCGCCGAGACAAGAGACAGGCTCGCGGAGGTTCGAGCTTCGAGCAGCTGAGGAGGAGGATGGACGAGCTCCAAAAGAAAATCGACGAGAGGGACGGGTCTCTAGAGCCCCATGATGTGTTGTCCTCCCCGTTCGCAAACGCCATCATGGAGGAGCCCTTACCTCGAGATTTTCGCTTTCCCACCATTAAAGCGTACTCGGGGACCACGGACTCATGGGCACACCTCACCAGGTACAGGGCCGTCATGATGATCACCGAGGCGACAGACGTCATCCTATGCAGGGGGTTCTTCGCCACCCTGAACGGGCAGGCGCATGACTGGTTCAGATCCCTCCAGGCGGGGTCCATCTCCACCTTTGCGGACCTCACCCGGCAGTTCCTATCCCATTTAGCCACCAGCATACAGCGGAAGAAGCAAATTGCCGACCTATGTGATTTGAAGCAAGGGAGCTCGGAATCACTAGCCGAGTAACTCAGCAAGTGGAAGAAAGAGACCATGGGGGTCTCCAACTTTGATGGGAAGTCGGCCATGCCGATCTTCCGAAACAACTTGAGGTCGGGCGCATTCCACCAGGACCACATCAGGTACCCCCCAGGACCTATACCGACCTGATGGATAGGGCAGCCAGGTACGCTGACGCCGAGGCTGCCGAGAAGAGGAAGAACGAGCAGGAAGAAGGGAGAGGTCGAAAAGACAAGGCACCCCAGGAGGAGCGCAAGGCACCACGGCCACACCGACGTGAGTACGCTGAGGGGCCCAGGCTGAACCCCACACGCTATCTCACCCCGCTGACACAACCTGTGGGTACCATCTTGGCGCACGCGGATGACCAGGGAATCGTGGTATTCCCGAATGAGGAGTGCATGAAGATATCGTCGAGGGGGGACCCCAACAAGTATTGCAGGTTCCACCAGCAGAAGGGACATGATACAGACGAATGCATCCTCCTAAAGCGACAAATCGAGGAGCTCATCCAAATGGATTACCTCGGCCAGTTCATTAAGAAGCCCGGCCAGGCGCAAGGCCAGAAGCAAGGCAATGTATGGAGAAAAGGGGGTGGCCAGGCGCCATCCACCTCGGCACCTCGTAAGAGGGACCACGATAACAGCTCCGAGGAGGAGGAGAAGACGACGGAGGACTCCCAGCCCCCGAAAAAATGTGTCATCTACGCCATCTTCGGGGGGCCCGGGGGAGGGGACTCGCCAGCCGAGAGGAAGAAGTGGGCGAGGAGCTTTACGTGGGGGAGGTCACACGAACCCCCCACGAGAAGAAACCGAGGAGGGAGCCCATCACGTTCACCGACGCCGACCTGCCAGATGGGCCCTTCCCCCACCGAGACGCCCTGGTGGTCAAGCTGGACATCAACAACATGGTGGTGCACCGGGTGCTCGTAGACACGGGTAGCTCGGTGAACGTCATGTACTACGACATGTTCACCCAGTTGGGACTCTCAAGAGGGCAGCTAGAGCAAGTACGGACCCCCCTGTCCGGGTTCACGGAGGACTCAATCGAGATGGAGG